AGAGAGAACAAATATGTGCTCTGCCTCCACTCTGGTGAGGCAGCCAGGAACCCCCCGCTGGGTATTTCGTCACCTTGGCACACACCTTCACTCTGCAAAGAAAATAGGAGTTCCAGCCCAGTCACTGGGGGCCTGAGTCCAGTTTAACAGTTTCCTCATGGAAATTTTCTTGTGTTCACCCCTTTAACCATATTTAGATTTTTACACTTATGCTGCTTTTCTGTCTTGTTGGGAATAGCTACCGAATCTTCCATTAACCAAACTACAATTAAGAAAGCAAAATGCCATCAGAAGAATATTTCTCACTTCCCAGTACYCAATGCTATGTGTTTCAAGCCATGTGGGGCCCTGTATTTTACATGGGAAACAAAACAAAACAAAAACTAGAAGGTATGTTCACATCCCAAGTACTATGGTATTCATGGATATACAGACTATACGTAAAAACATTAGCAATTTATGGTATTCAAGGAGAGATACAGAACAAACACTGCTTCTGTTTAGGTAGAGAATAACGCTCCTCCCTGTCGTTACTGACACACTATTCCTCCAATATCCATCCACAGATAGAGATCAGCTGTGCACCTCCRAATGTCAAAGTTTTAAAAATAAGACTAGTGAGGAAAAAAGCTGGAAGCCTTTAGGAAAAAGAGGAAAAAAAAAAAAAAATGGAAGCCTACCAAAACATTTAGCCCTAGAGCTACTCATTTCAAGCCCATCACTGTGCAGTCCTTGTGACTTACATAGTTATTAAAGCGAACACACAAAACACATTTTCTTTTCCTCTTCTTCAGTCAGCAGGATTTTTTTGTGCATGTGGTGTCATTGTGGGGAAAAACTAGGTCAAAGACATTCCCTTCTCCACCTACTGCTAGCCAGAAAACTGCATCCCTCATTTGACTGCATTCAGGCTCAGCCACAGCAACCACAAATTCTGTTCCAGAGAATTGTGATTCTTCAGATTTTGCAGTGAAGCAAATCTGCCAACCACTGGGCACGTCATGCTGCTCTTCACACATCTCTTCCCTCAACACAAGGACAACATACCTAGAAACCTGGGGCATAGGACTGCCCCAAGCAACTTGATCTTCAGCTGAAAGGCTTCGAACCAGTAAAAATTAGAATGAGTACAAAACAACACATATAAAGACATTTTTTTTCCTAGCCTGAAGTACAGGGAAAACAGTGAGAACAAGGTCAGTGCCAAGTGTATGGCTATTACTATGATTTGAGGGCAAATGCATTCAGATTGTGAACAAAAATTTCCACTTCAGATCAAATCTGCCTAGGTGCAAGTCTCAGAYGAGTCTTTAGGTTGGTGGCAGCTGTTGTCACTTGTATGAAAACAACGTAAATATGGATATTACCTACACAACAGTGGCATTTTTGCCCCCTCCCTCCATTCATATTTTGTGAGGTACAGTGTAAAGCCCCTAGAGGGGTGGATATTACTGCTTAAAACCTGATTTTGCCTTTGGGTTAATCCCAACAACACAGATGCTCTCCCTGTGAGCCAGACCATCTCAGGATACTTCTCCTCTGCAAGTATCAGCAATGAATTTGACTGACCCCGTCAGTATACGGGGGTATATGATAAATGTTCTAAAAATAACACTCCAAGCCATGTATTTTGCAACTTTCACTGTCTCTTTCTTCATTCTTTTTTCTCTGAATTTAGTGAGAAATTTCATATCAAGGGAACTATTCATAATACCATTATTATTATTATATATGAACCAGTATTATGATCAGTCATAATACCAGAGAGCTTGCTATTCTGATGCTACTTCTTAAATTTGCTACTAACTTGACGAAACTATCTCCATCCAAGGTGCCCAGGTAGCAACACCCATCACCCTTTAGTGTTGAGCAGAAGATCAGGAAGAGTCATATTCCTCTGCCAGAGAGCTTACAGAGATTTTACTAAAAGTTACRAATTTCTGAATTCATATTTTCCAATTTGTTGAAATTGTGATTCTGCATACTTGAATACACAAAGGATTTTATTCTTGTAAAGATTCATCTACTAATAAGCACAAAGCTTATGACACCATCAATAAGTTAGCTCCGACGAACAAGCCAGAAGTGGCCCATAAGGGAATGTCCTTTGGCGGAGTCTCCCTCTCRCAGGAATTGCCCTTAGCCTACAGAGATTGTATCTCCAGAGACTGGAGTCATTGAAACTAATCTCATTTACCTTATATGCAGCTCCAGGAGAATGTGTGCCAATCCATTTCAAACCTATTTCCCAAAGCTTCTTAATGCTAATGCCAGAGGAAAGAAAAATGGATAGTAYATATAGCATAAATGCATACAGCTGTGCACATGCACAGAGTAGGTTATATCTTTTTCCTGCAAGTAATAGTATAAATTAAATGCTGCAAAAAGTTGTAGGATAGCATTGCACTGCAAGCACTGTTCAACAAGTTAAGAAAAAGTTACGTTTCTGACTTCCAAGAGGAAGGGTGGTGACCTATAAAGTTGTAAAGGAAACCACTCACAAGGTTTTTTCAATGCCCTAGCTAAAAACAGCTCCCTGGAATTATAGGAGTCTCTTCCTCATCCTGCTCAGAACAATTGGAAAATTACAAACCTTTTAAAATACATAAAATTAATAGATTTCTTAAAAATAGAATGTATGGACACTAAAGAATAGAGGTAATTTTAATGAAATTACTTTTCTTATTTCTCCATTTTCTCTGGTAGTTGCTTTTAGATTTATCCAGTGGAAAGAGCGCCCCAAATTAAATAACGGTTACATTTAAAATGGGCTACAGCTCCTGAGAAGACATTCTTTCCCAAGGAGTCTACTTTTAGTTCTTAAATTCACTGGGAACAAGTTTAAGCTAAGCTAAAATAAGCAATTATTGCTAGAAACTTTGGGGCAAAACCCAAAATTAGCTGGGATTTGAGATAAATTCATTACATTTTTTTTAAACACATAATCAAGCAGAGATTGAACTAAGTGATATATATATATATATATATACACACACACTTTTTGGCCAGTACAGGGAAGGCTGATTTTTTTCTCTCGCCTACTCTAATTTATTCTACAATATATTCTTCACAGGTATTTATGTGATAACTGCATATCAGCATCCCACTTAGGCTTTAGTGCAGTTACCCTCACTAAACCCAGACCATCAGAACACGCTGTGAGCTGCACTGGAGCACAGACAGTGGACAGGGCCCAAATCAAACGAGGGGAAAAAAAGGTCAGTGTGTTTTTGTCACATAATGGAGCAGCATGCACAGTGACCCTCCCATGCAGTCTCTTCCCCAGCATTTTTTTTGGATTCTTTGGTAAATACTCAAATAAAGAGCCCGGGGATACAGTTAGATTAAGACACAGGCTGTGTTGTGACAGTAGTTTTAAAAAAAACAGATCCCGGCTGCTGCCTTCACTTAATGTCTGCCGTTATCCTCTGTGTTTAGGAATGACATTGCTTTTAAGTTATGTGGCTGTAGAGTGTAATTATCAGTGGTAGCTACCAGTTCTGTTCCTCCCACACATGGAAAGCTCGCAGGAACGAGGATGGGCTCTGCACAGACCAAGGTGGAAGGCCCGGAGTCCCCATATGCCACCAAACCCAGCGCTGCACCTTAGCGGTGCGGCCAGGGAACAAACTTAGCAGCTATGAGACTTCTGCAGACACAGAGGGCAAATGTTCCCTCCACAGAARGGATCAGCCCAAACCCGACACCATGGTGTCAGCCATGAATTCTTTGCTGTTAATCCAGGTGGGATTCGTTTCCAATTTCTACTGATCCTTTCTATGTCAACTTCTTCCTGCTTTGCAGAAGGTCCAGGAATTTAGACTAAATATTTTTTMTTTTTTTGAGACAAGCTAGTAACAACACAAATCTTTCATTATTGCTCAGGTTTCTTCTTAAAATACATGAAAAGAACACACCGTGGCAAAACTCAAGGATAAGAGGTCTTTTATGAATAAAAAATCTTATCTAATTAAGTGGCTTTTGGAATATCCTGTTTTAATACCGGAGGTATGAAAGCTAATGCAAAAAAAAAAAAAGAAAAAAAAAAATCAGAAGTAGCTCTTCTTATCTTATCCAGGAAAATATAAGAGTAGTTTTAAACTGCATCTATCAAAGCTATGACAGCCCATGGTCAAAGTCATGTGAATGAGTTAGTATTTGATTTGGCAGCCCAATACATCATGTTTCTAGAAAGCCACAGATACATAACTGCTTACCTAGAAGCAGAGCAACACTTTCTAGGACTTGGAAATTTATCTCTAGTGAAATTGAGGCAGTGCCTTGCATTTTGTAAGTCTGCTTTTGAGTGCTTGTTTCTATTTCGCTTGCTTGTATGCAGCTGCCACGGTAATGCTGCTTGCTCCTTATATTAAGTCGTGGACTTAGCACTTTACTTACCRGTCCACAGTTTAAAGGTGAATTTCTCACACACGTGGCTTTCTCCTCCATGGCTTTTCCACCCCCAAGCAGGCTCCACTACCCACATGGCTTCCTGCCACTAGTAATAGTATCTAATTTTCTAATTTTGACCCACGTGTTTATTTATATCACAGGCTACTTCAGGTGACGTGGAGCTCGCTGTTGGGAACAGGCAGGGGCTACCAGTACCGGATTGTCACTTGTATCCGGCTTGCATGTTACCTTACCAGAAACGTCTCCAATTCCGTGGATGGGTGATCTGGTTTATCAGTAATTGCCTCCTACTGCTTTCCTAGAAACTCCGTGCTCGCACAGCGCCTTATCCTGCCTTTGCTCGTCCAGAAGCACCCGGCATCTCGCAGCAACCCTGAGGGTGGTCCCATCCCCTGGCCGCCCCCCGGGACAGAGACCCTTCCTCCCCCGACTCCTGCTACCCGCAGGACCAGCCCACGCAGCCACGGGCGCGACGTGACCAGCTCACTGCAGCCACGGGCGCGACGTGACTTAGCAGAGCCGGGCTCAAACTCTGGGCACTGCCGCGCGGCGGGGGGAACCCAAAGGCCCTTTCCGCGCCGCGGTACCTTCCTGAGGGCGGCCCGCAGGGCGCTGTGCTGCTCCGTGCCGGCCACGCGCGCCCCGGGAACGGCACCGGGAACGGGACCGGGGCCGCCGGAGGCTCCGCGCAGCGCTGCGCGCAGCAGCGCCCAGGCCCGCGCGCGCCCCGGCCGCAGCGCCATGGCCGCCCCGCCGCGCTCCGCGGCCGCGCTCCGCCCGCGCCGGGGCGGTTCGGGGCCGCCCCGCGCCCCGTCCCTCCTCCAGCCCCAAGCAAGCGCCCAGGCGCGCGGGGAACGGGCAGGCTCCTTTAATTCCAATTAACAGCCCAGAAGCAACCGATTAACGGGCGGGAAGCGCGAGCGGCGACAGCGCGAAGGGCTGTCACGACACGGCGGTGTCGGAGAGCAGGACGTCGCCATGCCCCATGGAGCGACCAGCAAGGGTCTTGTCTGCTTTGAGATATTTCATTTCATTTCATTTCATTTCATTTCATTTCATTTCATTTCATTTCATTTCATTTCATTTCATTTCATTTCATTTCATTTCATTTCATTATTTCATTTCATTTCATTTTTTTTAAAGGAAAAAAGTCTGCTCCTGCAGTTGTTCAACACGCACCAGCAGAACTGAGGACACACTAGGGACTCTCTAAAGGTACAACACTGTCTGCTCCAGTTGTGGACGGGTTTATTTCCTCATGCAATGATGCAGCCTCCTTTCTCCTTGAAGGGGTTCTTCTCCTCGGGAACCCCCTTCACCAGCGGGTCCTCACCGGACCTCTCCTCGATGTAATTCTTGATCTCCTCGGAGCACTTGGACACCTTGAGAGAAGGAGCGAAGAAGTTTCTGCATTAGACCCACAACTCTCGTTGCACATCAGAGTATCAAAATAGTTAATTCAYGCTTTTTTCCACCCCTTTTATTTACCCTCTCATTAAGTATCAGCAATCTGACCACATGGCAAGCGCTAGGTACCTATACACCCAGTTTCCATAAGATAACACTTTTCCAAAAACTATTATTCACAGGATGTGTGAACATCACTGGAAATTCATATGCCRCATGGTTGCTGGCCATGAATTTTCCTGTTTTATTTTTTATTTAACCAATATAGTTATATTAAACTGAGGATCACAAAATTTTCCCCTCTGTACCATCATGACAGAGACCACTGCTTCAGATTCAGCAACATTTCAATTTAGCAGTATGGCATCTGTTTTCCAAATATACATAACTTTATATGTCTTTCCAAAAGAAAACATTCAATCATGATTTTTCACTGGTGTGATAGAAGTTGTCTCCATGCAATTGGACAATAGCAACCATATGTTGAATGGAAGTAAAGAATTAAATGAGAAAGATAATTTACTTGCAGGTTACCTGGGGTTACTTCAAACAACAGCTAATAAAATATCCTATTGTGTTATGAAAAAAGTATAGCATGTGTGTTAATTTATGTGACATTCATAGCAAAATAGCAATGTTGTGCTTCTCCACAAAAACTCATGAGTGAAGCATTTAGCTTGAATTATCTAAAATGAGAATACAGGCTGCAAGTGCTGTCACCTGTAAGAGAATGAGGACCCACGTTCCGGAGAATAAGCACCCACAAGCAGATCCAAAGACTCCTAAAGATCCCTATTCATTCACCACTTGTTTCTCCTCCCTAGGGTAGCAGAACGTGTCCTTTGATGTTCAAATGTCTAAAATGTGCAAGGAGTGTTCCCTGTTCTTTCCTTGCCTCTACCCTGGTCAGGAATACCTACAGAGACAGAGTAAAGCAGAGTCAGCAGGAGGAACTATCTGTTGGCCTGGTTGGCTGGCTATTATTTCTAATTTAAGGCCCCTTGCCTTCTTTGCTAATTGTGTTTTACTCTTTAGCTATAATTAYGATGAGAATCAATGAATTTACCTGCTCTGTGAGAGGCCAACAGACCATGGACTGTGAAAAGTGGTGCCTTAAGCCATAAAAAATCCACTTATTTAAATCCTAAAAGGAAGGTGAATCAAGTAGGTTCTACCTATCATACAGTGCAGAATTTGGACCTCCAATATCCATAGGTTTATGGATTTTGACCCATATGTCACATATGGGCCACATACCTGTGTCTTGTCCTGCTCTTAGCACACCCGTACATCTGTTAATTCAAACTGGGGGWCTTTTTTGTGCTCCTGAATATATGCAGGACTATGTTTTCTTTTACTTCAATTAACACTTCCAATATATTTTTCATGCGTAACAACAACAGCAGTCTGCTTATATATCCATTCAGAYATTTTCATTAATTTAAAAAACTATTTAAAAGGATATTCCCTCATTGTGCTGCAAATACATAAGATGCAGGAGAGAGGGGTAAGGAAGACTTTGGCTAAATGTACGTAATTTTGRCCAAGAACAGAAGTGTGGAATCTGACTTTCCATCTATTCTATAACTGTACAGATAATGTGGAACTGTGACATATAAACCACAAATTTCACTCTCATACAATGGAACATTTGTATAGTGCAATGGTAAAATTGAAAATGTTGTCCTTTATTTTAAGTGATTCCAAAATATACATTTCCCTAAAATGGTCACCCTTTTGGTCTGTTCAAAATGCTTAGGCGAGAGAGTTTGTTTTTTCTTTTCTTTTCTTTTTTTTTTTTTTTTTTTTGATTGTTTTTCTTTTAGGAAAATTGAAGTCTCTACATCCCACAGAGTGTATTTTGGTTATTTGGGGACGTTGAGGGATGATCTAGATGCCTATAGTGCTTAGAAAAGGTCTTTCCATCAATACTGCTGAATCTTTGGCCCATACTGCAATGTCTTACTGATCTTCAAATAAAACACAACTGTTGCATTGTTATTTTCAGGTTTAAATTGCTGGATCTGCAAACTGTGAACAATGTAATTCACGTTGGTAGCTCCACTGAAACCGTTAYACAAATGCATTTAGAGTCCTACACGGAAGTGGTCATTAGGTGCAGTCCTGGGCTTTGCTAGTGTGCGGTATAATACGAGTTTTACCGCGGGGCCTGGCCCAGGCGGCTTCCCATCCCAGGCCCCGCTGCCGCTCAAACTTCTCTCCCGCTTCTCTCCCGGGACCCGCCCGTCCAGCCACTGCTCCCGGGGGGACGGGMGCCTTTTCCCTCCGCATCCCAGCGCGAGGACGGCCAGGGCGCCTGTCCCGGGGGCACCCAAGAGCTCCCTGCCCTCCGCCTCCCAGCCGGGCCCCGCACTGCCCCGCGCCGTCCTTACAGCGGGGCCGGGGGCAGGTTCTGCCGCGGGGCGCCCGTCTGGAAACAGCGGGAGCTCCCGGCGCACCGAATGCGCGCGGAGCCGCTCCCGAAATGCCGCTCCCGGCCCTTCCCGAGCCGCCAGAGCCGCCTCGACGTGTCCCGCCGCCCATCCGCGGCCCCGCAACACGGAGAGGGGGGAAAGCAGCTTCTCCCCCCTGTCCGGCTYCGGCTGCAGCCGCCGGGCGAGCCCCGCGGGCCCGAGCGCCGCCGCCGCTCACCGGCTGCCTCTCCAGCTTCACTTCTTTGCGGAGCTGCTCCACTTCCATTTTCAGTTTATCCTTCTCGCTCAGATCCTCTATGTTGATCGCTGGCATCGTCTGCGTTGCCCGGGGTGGGAGGGAAGGAGAGAGGACAAGATGTTACCAGCTCTGCGCGGGGAGGGCGCCGGGGCGCGCGGCCCCCGGGCGGACGGCGGGATCGGGATGGACGGCGGGATCGGGATGGACGGCGGGACAGCGGGACGGCCGCCCCCTCCCCGCCTCCGGGCTCGCTCACACGGTGCCGTCCGGGCTGCCTCGCGGCTTCCTCTCGGGCCCCACTTCTCCACGCCGCTTTAAACAGCCGCGTTAATCCCCCCACAAGCGGATTAAGCGCGGCCGCCGACCCCCGGCCCCGCCGCCGGGACGAGCGCGGCCCTGCGGACACGGGCAGCGCCTGGGCGGCCCGGCCGGCCCCCCGCACCCGGCCACAGCCCCACGGCAGGCGCTGGGCTCGCTCCCTCCTCTTCCTCTCAGCCCCGGGTGCAGCCAAGTGCTCCGGGGCCTTCTCCTGCCCCCCGGCTCCCCCACAGTGGCTCTTCTCCACAGCTGTGACCAAGCTTGTGGTGTCGCTGCTCATGGACCAGGACCTTCCCGCATGGGGCACTGGGCTAGGGCAGCAGCAGGTGTTTTGCACAAGCGTGTTCCCAATTCTTGTGCGCTGAAACTGTGAGGGGACTGGATTAAAAGGCAGACAGGGAAAGGAATTGCTTTCAGGTCAAGTATGCAGGCAGACAGCCAGGCCCGTTAATGGCAGAGACAGCCAACTTTGCTTGCTAAGTGTATCTATAAAGCAGAGCAGCAGCTTTGCAAGGAGGGGCATCGTGCCCAGCTGGTGCAGAGCATTTCTGGACAAAACCAGGAGGCAGCAGCCGCATGGCCACAACCCTTTACTCCAAGCAAAGCTGCAGGCCTGGAAGCAACCCTTAAAATGGGCCTGTGTATGTGTGCCACCTGGAAGGCGAGCAGTGCATCTCCCTCCTTCAGCCTCTGGCTATGTCCGTACAGACCCTCCTTCCTCCTCCTCTCCCCACACATCAGGGGCAAGTAACTGCCAGGGGTAAGCTAAGATTTGGCCTTTTCCTCCTGTGCAGATTCTACAATGCTCCTAGGCGTTGTCTTTGCTTTAGTTTAGCCAGTTCACTAAAAGCAGTGCCCGCTAAACCAGCTTCTGGTACCCAGTTTCTACACTGGCACAATCTGTACTGACATGGATACCTGTCAAACTTTTCTGTGAAAACAAAGTTCAAACTTTCAACTTGTGTGCTCACAAAAGAAATGGGAGCTGGCATTTGCGTGACTGTGTCTGTTCTACTGCTTTTGCCCCAAATAATATTTGAATTATTTTCTTTGCAACTCTAACAAAATCTGATGAATGGTAAAGGACATTAATCTAATCATATTAAAATCACCTGAGAGTTTCTTAGTATTAGAGAGATGGCATTTTGATGTTTCTGCAGATTTAAAATGTGTTTGCCTTTTTCTTTTTCCTTCTGGGAGGACTTAAGCAGTAGYACTGCTTAGCCACTGTGCTTAATAAGCCTAACAAAGCCACTTAAAAAAAATGAGGACATCTGTTATTAACAGTTGTAGCAACAAGACTATAAATCATGGCAGATGTGTCCTGTCCATGGCAGATTAGAAATATCTCAAAATATATCAGAGTTTGTTTTCTGTCACTAGATTTTGAATAAGGGAGGGAGGAAGGGTCTATTCATTTCCCCTTAGAAGTTAATCTAGTTTATGGGGCTTTATATGGGGCTTTATAGAAGACTGCTCTGCTTTTTTTTCTTTTAGGGAAAATAAAATCTGCTCAGAATCTCCTGTGATATACAAGAAAAATATAAGAATAAAATAGAAAAATATAGAGCAAGTCAATTCCTGAAAGATATTGGAATGGCAGGAAGTTCTTATAGCCACTACAGAGTGCAGGTCCTTTTCTGGAGGCCACAGAGTTCCCTGGCAYTGTAACTCAGTCGCAATCACAATCACATCCATGGCAGTGGCTGCCTGGAGGAGCGGAGTTCAATATTATCACTGTAGAGGGAGTGGAGGAGAACAATAGGGGATCAGATTAGTTTATTGTTACCTATAGCTGGGTGCCCAATTTGCAGTTACTCTTATCTCAGTTATTGTGTTTAATCTGGAGTAAACATTAATTAATGTAATAGCTCTAATAAATTAGGCAGGGAAAGCTCTCTGTTCAACCTGCTTCTCCCTGATCACAGTAGGGATTTATTTCTGACAGTGTTGAATGTCTACAGAACAAGCCAAAGTACGATATTTCCTGAAATCCAGCTCTCTCTGAGCTGGTCAGAGGGTTTGCCTGTCCCATTTTCCAGGAATCCAAGTCTGCTGGCAGTGTCCTGGCTCTCTCGAGTCCCTGAGTGTTAGACATAAGGTTATTAAAAGAATAATGGGGTGAATAACTTTATTCATAATAATGAATAACTCTAGTGGCACCTGCCCGGTGGCCTGTCCCTGAAGACGACCTGCCAAAAAAGGCCGTGTTTGGCTCACAAGATCCTGTCGCCCCCGTCCCTGGAAGCTCCCGAGCAGCAGCAGCCGGGAGCGGGGATTGGACTTTCGCTGACGGCCGCGTGCCGGATTTCTCCGTGATTAAGAGGAAACGCTCCCCGAGCTTCATCCCTGCGGGACAGGGGGGAGATGAAGGGGATGGGGGCGCGGCCTTGGAGCCCCGCCAGCTCGGGCGGCCCTGGCGGGGGGGCGCAGCCCCGGGGGGCCGGGGGCGGCGCGAAGCCTCCCGAGGACGCGCAGCCGTCGGGGCCGCGCAGCGCGGGGCCGCGCCCGGGTGACGGCCGGGTCAGCGGGGACTGCGGCCTCGCTGATTCARCCCTTCTCCTCCCACCTCATGCGCACGGAGGGAGGCGGCCCCGACGAGCCGCCTCAGCGCATATAAAGCGCTGCCGTCGGGCCGGGCAGCGCCGCCCGCTGCAGGGACCTCGCCGCCTGCCCGAGCTCCCTCCTCGCCCCGACATGGCCCCCGGCCGCCTCCCGCTGCCTGCGCTGCTGCTGCCGCTGGCCTGCGCCGCCCTCGCCCCCAGATCCCTCACAGGTAGGAGCGGAGGCTCCGCGGCTCCCCGCGGGGTCGGCGCCGCCGCCGCGGTGTCCTGAGCGCCGCGCGCTTGTGTCTCCCGCAGAGAAGCAGCGCGCCTGCCTGCTGCCCCCCGACGACGGCCCCTGCCGCGCCATGGTGTCGCGCTGGTACTACAACAGGTACACGCAGAGCTGCCAGGAGTTCACCTACGGGGGCTGCCTGGGCAACGCCAACAACTTCCTCACCTCCGACGACTGCGAGAAGAGATGCTGGACTATCAAGAGTGAGTCCGACGGGTGTCCCCCCCGCCCCCGGGCTGCCGAGCCCGGCTCCGACGGGTGTCCCCGGGCTGTTGAGCCCGGCTCCGATGGGGCAATCCGGGCTGCTGTGCCCAGCTCCGATGGGTATCCCCGGGCTGCTGTGCCCAGCTCTGATGGGTATCCCCGGGCTGCCGCCGCTCCCCGAGGTCCACGGAGGCTGCTCTGCTCGAGGGGCTCTTCTAGCTTGTAGTAACTGCCCCACTGCTTTCAGGCTTGCCTGGAGGCACGGGGGATGTATTAATGTCTAGATTTTAATCTCATATTATAATTATTTGCTATTTTTAATGCATTGGACTTTCAAGGTGTATACCTATCCCATGTTGTCGGAGAGTGGAGGAAGCTGGACTGCGTGTAAACTTGTTTAGTATGGGGAGCACAAGGAGTGGATTATACTGAGGATGAAATTCTTCTTGTTGCAGAAGTGCCTAAAATCTGCCGGATGGAGGCCGATGGGGGACCCTGCAGAAGCTACTTCAAAAGATACGCCTTTAACCTGAGCTCGATGAGGTGTGAGGAGTTCGTCTATGGTGGCTGTTATGGAAATGACAATAACTTCAAAGATCTGCAGTCCTGTGTGGACCACTGCCTGCCAGAGAAAAGTAATGATTGTTCCAAGTTTCTAATAAAATAGACGGTTTGAAAGTGCTGCAAAGATGATATTTTATTTGATATTTTCTTCTGGATCCCCTTACAGTAGTATTTTTGAAGACTTCTGTGAAACAGATGTTTTTATTGTCTGCAGACTTTCATGTGTTGCTTGTCTCCGCTGTCTGTTACTGAAAGTGCAAAAATACCATGTTAATTCAATATTTTGACCTCAAATATGCTCAAGCTACACCTGAGCAGTCTCCTGATTTCTGAAAACGTGTATGTATAATGTGAAGGGAGATAAGGTCACACATTGTGTTGATGCAGAGGTATGAGACATTGGGGCTGTCCTGTTTAGGGAAGTGAAACAGCGTAGAGTGGAAAGTGTCTTTCTAAACTTCAAGACCAAGTAAGGGATGCTCTTAGGTTGCTTGGGTTTTTGGCACTCATCAGTTTTATAAAAAATAGATCAATATCCAGAGCAAAATATTGCTTTTGAAGAAGAGAGAGCTACCAGAATGCACCAGAACGAGTACATTTTATTAATGCTTAATTAGACAAGTTATTTTTGTTTGATGACAGATTAGCAACAGTTTCTTAGGTGAAAGCTGATTTTTAACTTTCTTTCTTCCATGTGTGATAAATTGAAAAGGCACTTCCAGCAAAAAAGTAATTATTTTTTAGACAATAGGTAATGTGATTCTTAGGAGGAAAATGGTGAGCACTTTTTACTATGAGAGATTTATTTATGTTAAAATCACAGAAAGCTTAATCATTTACAGAGGTAGTTCCTTTGAAATCGTTATTATATTCCTGCATATATGGAATTGTTTGAACATTTTGGCTATAAAGTGTATAGCAAAACACCTGGGGAAAGCTGCTGAATTTTACTTGTGCACTAGTAATATTAATTTGGGACTGTCTGTTGCTGTCTATGAATGCATAACTGAAAAATAAGATGTAGTGAGTCTCTGAAGTAATTGGTATCAGTCATATAGCATTTTAATAGGAACAAGAACTGTTTATCTGCATTATTTGCTGTAGGGTAAAATTTAAAAGTCAAACACAGATATTAGCTAATTTCTCTCTTTTTCTCTGCTTTTTTTTTTTTTTTTTTTAATTATTATTTTTTAAGCTGGTCCCTTGTTATGCTATAGCCCAAAGGATGAAGGATTGTGCTCTTCTTCCGTGACTCGCTATTACTATGATACCAAGAGCAAAACATGTAAGGAATTCAAATACAGTGGCTGTGGTGGAAACGCAAACAACTTTGTTACTGCAACAGATTGCTACAATGTTTGTAGAAAAGGTAAGTTCTGTTTGTTTGTTTGTCTCCTTTCTTTCTTTTTTTCTTTTCTTTTTTTTCCCTCCAGTCAAAAGCAGTCATCCAACCCAAAATACCAGAACTGCTGTTCAGAGTGGGCTTTACTTATGTTGGCTTTTTACAAATGTTCTTTTATTTATTTACTTGTTTAGGCTTGGTATTTTTAAATGTCAGGGAAAACTGAGGAACAACACTAAATCTTTCTGACAAGAACCATGCAATGTGAGACAGAAAGACCATTTGAGAATAAATTGTAGAGAAGGGCACGTAAATAAAAAGTCTAATTAATTTACTGGAAGCCTAGTTAACTTACTAGGGGTCACAGGAATCAGTCTTCAAACTGTTCAGAACCTACAACAATCAAGGTCTCTCTTCTAGAAAATTTTCAGTAGGAGAAAAATGAGTTATAAAAATCAATTTATTTTTTCCTTAGCATTTTAAAGTAGTTACCATCTTCTCTTGGTTCCCTGCTGCTTGCTTCCATTTCCCATTCCATTGCTAAAGATTTCTGCCTCATCATGCTGGATGTGTTTGTATGGCTGTGGGAGGAAGGGTGTGAATGATAATTGATTTTTTTAAATGATTTTGTTCAAATCAGCTACTGACTCTGTAAGTCAAAACAATTTGCTTTTGTCTGCAACAATATGTTCATGCCAGCTAGTGCCAGGCTTAATACTCTAGTTTAATTAAGTTGACATGTAAATTAAAGAGAAAGACTATCATGTTGATCCCAGGAGTACCCAGATCTTTTTTGTAAGGAACAACAAAATATTAGAAAATAGAGTTAAAGTAGAAARAAATGAAGCTACTTCTAGTGCACATACTTGTCTTTGGAAAGAAAAGGCAAAAAAATCAAATCCATTTTAACAAACATAAAAATGGGATATGCTCCCTTAATGGACTGTTTAGCATGTGTAGTAAAAAGATTTAAGCAAGGAAATGTGGAAGTGGAAGCCCAGTTCTTCAGCTTTGGAGCTGAAAGRCCATGGCCTGAGAACATCAACCTGGCTGGGATTTCACCCTAAGCACAGTCCTASTCCTCAGAAGTAAATATAGTCTCTGCCAGTTACTCATGGCAGCAGTATTTGTGGGCAGTGTGTTTGCCATTCTACTGTTATAATGGAGCTTTTAATGTCACACAAGCTCTACCTGAGGTTCCTGTGATCAGCGTATTTGCATGTGTAGCTTCCTGGAGGATGGCGGGGCCAGGCTCCAGCCCRGCGTGCAGAGAAGGACGGGAGTTACCTCGTCAGCATCTCGCCCTCATGCTCTGCCCCTGCACGTGCATGGGCACGAACACTCTGACAGCTCCTTTCTTAATACGGAAGAAAGAAGTAAAGAAATAGCTGTCTCATAACTAGAGCAATAGAAGGCAAAACATACAGGATTGGCTATGGGCTTTTCCACTAATCCATGAATTTCAAAATTCAGTAGGGCTTGGTCAACCAAAGCCCACAGTTAATGGCATAATTAGTGCTAATTAATGTTGAGCTATTCATATTCATTTCTTTAACTTGGGTGTGCCCAGCAACATTAAGTAGATCTGTAAGACAACTTAAGCTGCTGCTCCTCTTCTGCTCCTATATTTCTCATCCCTAGTATCTTTCCTGCCTACCTTTTTGAGCCCACAGCTGAATTCAGTTGACCTTGTGCAAATATGTTTGAACTGACTGAAGTTTTTTGAGCCAGCAGGTATCTGATTCATTTAAGTACAGAAAATAGAATAGAAACTAAACAAGCTTAATGCACAGGAGTTGTGGTGATAATGAAAGGATTGGGAATTGCCGGTAAGGGTTCTGCACATAGGCAAATAGGTAGCATAAAGGTCTAAAGCAAAAGACTCAGTTTTGCAAAGAACTTATATCCTGAACTGTTTCATGTGGTCTTCATACATTCATGCTGAAATAACCCTTACTGCTGTTTCTGACCATTCTGCAGTTTCTGTGTGAAAGCCAGGTCTGTGCAGAAGCCTAAATCATTTTTTGTCTTCATCTTCCATGGGTGTATTTTAAACTTTGCACCCATCTTCTGCAAAGAAATCTAGTAATGTCCTCTCCTCTCCTCTCCTCTCCTCTCCTCTCCTCTCCTCTCCTCTCTCATTCCAGATGTGGAAGGATCTTGATTTCCATCCTGCCATCACACTAGGACAGCTAGAAAGACTTGAATTCTTGTTCAGGGAAAGAAGAGTAAAGTAAATTTTCAGTGCCAAAGTTGGACATATTAGGAACCTATGTGAGAGTGGCAAGCCCAGAACGTATTTTACAGCTAATACAGTTGTTATTACCTGCTCAATTGCTTGAAAAGTGTAATAAGGAAAATAATAATAATAAAAAAGCCATTTGGTTATACTGTTTCCCTAACTGCTTCCTTTATTTTTGTAGCAGGGAGTCAGAAGCCAAGGATCAACAAGCCAACAAATCTACCCCGCAGAAAAATGATGAGAAAACTGGTTAAAAAGCCACAGATATATAACCTGAAGTCCTAAGCCTGGTGTGCATTTGGATGTTAGGCATCTCCTTTTGAATTAACTTCCCTCTTTGTAATATAGTTTCCACACAGTTTTATCAGCAAATGGTTCTGTCTTTCAGAACTGCTTTTTATTTTCCAACTTATTAGAAATAACTGCATTTAATAGAAGAAGAATGAACTTAAATTTCATTCTCCTGCTCTGTTGTATTTGCAGTAATACTTTGGTAAAAAACAAATACTTAGATTTCCATGTTTTTATGGGGGAATATTACTACTGCCTTCAGAGAGTATTTCAGCTGTTACAAATCAATTAAGATTTGAAAAATCTATAGTCTATCTGCATGGATTTTATGGATCTATATGGATCTATAATCTATATGGATTTTTTTTTGGCATTTTCTGCTTGTTAAAGAAATTAAAACTTCCAAAGGTGTGTGCAGACATTTATAGCTCTGCTATTGAATATACTTTGGTATTATCATATGAGTAGACTATCCTTTATAGTCATGTTTATGGTAATAGAGATACTTCCACAAAATATCTGTATTTGACTCTGAAGAAGGTAATCAATCAGGTACTTAACTATTAAAATGTAAATATAGGCATTACTTTTTTCATAATATCTGAAATTCCCACAAAATTGTACTCCAGACCCTCACTTGGCATGTCAGCAAATTTCTCTTGATTTTAATGGAGCAACAGTGATTTACATCTTCAGAGAATTTTGATATTTATGTTTATATTATCTTTTGTTAAAGAAGAAAAGAAAAAAAGCAGAAAAGGAGAGGCTTCTGCAAATCTAATGTATTCCCACTTTTGAGGTATTGTTATAATTCTTGTGTTAGACTATGCCTCCAGTGATAATATTGCACTTTTTTTTTTTTGTATTTGAGCCATGTTTGAATTCCTATTATTTTTACCTACAATGTTTTCTATTATGATTTCAAAGAACAATATTAATAAAATATTTTGGGGAAAAATTAAAGCTTGTTCTGTCACATGAATTTATTCATTATTCTGAATTATTTGCATAGATCAATATGTTTAATGAAGCTTGTTGTTTGTTTATTATGACTCTAGCAGAGTTTAGTCATCTCTTAAGTTACTTCCCTCCACTGAAGTTTAGTTACTTAAACAAAGTCAGTAAATATCACYAATTTCATTCATTCCCAGCAGTTGTTATGGCTCAGTTAGCTCCGGAAGGAGTTGTTCTCGAGGGATGCTTAGTTAAGTCAATTTTCTGCTCCTGGGTCTCCTGTTTGATCTGAATAGTGCTTGTAAAGTTGGCCTGCTTATGCATAACCAATTACAGCATTCCTGCTTAGAACTGCAGCTATCTCTCTGACAATCAAAGTTTAATATGTCTTCTTTCTATTTTATTAATATAGCCCCTGCTGTTACATTGTCTTAGCATCATTTCTGGCTTGCTGGCCTCTTGCTTCTGAGCGAGTGAGATTTGCTTGAAATTACATTAGCTTTTAGTTTAAAATTTTCAGTTTTGTGTCTTATCCCCATGTCAGGAGGGAACAAGAAGGGAAAACTACTCAAGATTTTTCTTATTTGTTCTGCCCCTCAAGCCTGGAGCTGTAATTAAAGCAGTCAGCTGTGCTTGCCCTAGTCCTTCTAGAGACASGCTTTGGTTCAAAAACACCAGGAAAAATCTCAGAAAAAAAAAATGCTGCTTAMATAACAGACCTGGCTGTATTTGTTGCAGCTTTCTGACTAGACTCATGCACACAGGTCCCATTTCAGGACTCATAGTCCAATTTAAATGCTGTTTTTAACTAGGAGGGTTGCCATCTTTTTACACTGTCACTGTGTGATATAATGTCTAGAAACATGTTTGAGAAACACACCATAATTTATCTGTGTCTATATTTGACTAGAACATTTCTGCTGGAGTATTTTGGGACCCAATGAGAAAGTGGATCAGAGCTTAAAAGGGGCGTTTGGGGAGAATATGGGAACTGAACACCTGARTTTGAGAATGGCTCCACGTTTCCTTACCTTTTGATTTAAGGAGTTCCAGGGTACCCAGTCACACATAACAAAGCCTGGGCAATTAGATACCAGCTAGTATCTAAATCTGAGTAGGATCCAAAAACTTGATATTCCTGTTCTTGTTCTACCTCACAGGCTCAGTGAGAGCATTTTTTTATGGACCATACTCCCTCCAGAATGCAGCAGTGGCCACTATTCTAAAGTCTCTTATAATGTGGCTGCCTCACATGCTTTCTTTTTTATTATATAAAAGCATCATCCAAGGACTTACTGCTAGGGCACTCAGTGAAATATCAGAGGCCTGAATTTGAATACCTTAGCTATGTATCTGACACCAAACAGGAATTTAGGATAAAAAAATCTATAATTCCCRCAGAATTGCCTAATGATGATGTTCTGGAAAACTGGGGGGATAGCAGAATGCCACAGTTTTTTTCCAGATCTCTTATCAAGCTATTCCACTTTGTGTAATTTGTCCTTCTTTCCAGGTAAATATCTTAATCTCTTATTTTATATATAAAATATATATACATATATATATATATCAATTTTAGCTGTTGCTGCGCTGCTTTGTTTAATGTTCTTAGGTTACTCTAATATCCCTCCAGACTCCTGTGGCTTTGAGTAATCTAAATAATTCTCTCTCATCTGCGACATTTTATATGACTCATCACTTACTTCCTTTTTCAGTTTGCTGATGAAAGAACAATGGCCCAAGGTTGGGTCAACTCTTAGCATTTTGCCATGCTGAAAATTAATGTGGCCCACACCATACTGCAAATTAACCTTTATTATAGTAGCCAGTGTCCAGCAACTTGTATAGTGTGTCAGAGTGTAAATTTCTATTGCATAGGAGGGAAGCAGTGATTATAATCAGTAGGGTGCATCTTGTCTTTCCTAGGTAAACGTCCACTGAGACTCGTGACTAGTGGCTTCTGTGGGACAGTCATTCTTGCTGCTGCACAGCAATGGCTGAAAAAATTATATTTTACTAAACTCCATAACAAATAAGGTCATTGCTCTACAATTTTCATTTTTAATCTATTTCCAAGGAATATATCAAAGACTATAAAAATGAAAATATAAACTGTTACTTCATCCTGAATCTGTGGCACCACTCAGGGAATTCAAGAAAAATATTGTATTGCTTTGTAAAGTATTTCAAAAGTAAGAGAGTGGCTTCTTGTTTCTTTATATTTTAGTGGAATTTAAAGCTTCATAAAGAGAAAAGAGGAAAATCCACGTGGAAACACCAAACAATGTTTTTTTTTTTTAACCTATAGGCTTAATACTGGCAAGCAGAATCAAGCAGACTTTTCTTTCATCACATCTCCTTGTAATAATGTCTGACACTCTGACACTAATAAATGACTTTCTCTCAATTCCATACATTAGGAGCAAAATAGCAATCAGTTCAGATTGAATTCCTTGAGTCAAATTTCTAACTGCTGCATATGTTCYCATTTCTACTGATTCTCATCAGCTTTAAAGAAGGAAAACGTGAAACATTTTACTGAAAAATCTTTTATTAGACAAAATGCTCCACGTTACCAAAAATAGTATCCAATGAACTTAAGCTTTGGAACACATATGGAAGATTTGGTCCAGCTGTACTGCTGTGGACAGTTGTTCAATGATCCAGGTAGTGGTAAGAAATCTGTTCTACAAGATAAATTCAGTCTAACTAGGATGATATAAATCTGGAGGAACTACATCRCAGTTATGGCAGATGAAATATTATGCATTTACATTAGTGKTATTGAAAGAGAAATCTCCTTCATTATCTTTCTAGAAAGCTTTAAATTATTATGCATAACTATCATTGTTAATAATTAGCACAGAGTTTCTTGTGTCTGTTGAATTGAGCCTAATTTTTCAGTGTATGGTGGTCCTGTAATTTCTGTCATCTGAGAATTTAATTAATTGCTGAGGARAGGGGTGGTAATCATAGTATATACAGCCTAATGAACAGCAATGATATTAAAAATTCCATGTAAACAAGAAGTATAGAAGCATATGGTTTGAGGCATTAGGAAAGTGATGTGATCATGAGCTTTGACTTCCATATTAACTCCGGGGACATGAGTGTTCTCAGCTCATGTCTGAAGTATTCAAAAAAGAGAGAGATCATCTGGACAAGCCAAAGACTAATTCATGTAATGTCTCTAACATTGTATCTACTATATGTGAATAGAACCAATCTCTTTTAATAGAGATTCCCTGTTTACTTGCAACACTGACAGTAATTCCAGATGAGTATTGACGAGATGGATACTTTTTRAGACACAGTTCACTGGGTCCTTAAATCTTGTGTGTGAAGGGTTTTAAATACTCAACATTGTTCACATTTTCTCACCCGGTGGGGCCCAGCTTCAAGCAGATAAATGTACAGAGAAGATACTAACCCAAATAATTTGGTATGCTAGATCCCTAGTAAGGCCTTAACATACTAACTATGAGTTAAATTCTTTCATCTATCCTCAAGCTGGATTGTAATTTATTGCTCAGTGAGCTTTCTTAAAGGTAAGGTACACTGAGCAAGTGTGCTGACTCTCTTCTAATGAGATAGTGGAGGATTAATGTTTTTAAGGTCTAGTATGAAATGCTATAGTAAAAAACCTCCAAGTAATTAATAAATGCATATGAACACTATTCGTTCTAGGGTATTTTTCTCTGTGTGTGGAAAATAAGATGAAGAGGGTATATTATATTAATAAAAGTTATTTTAGAAGTCACGAGATAAAAGATTAAAAAGCTCGTTATCAAACCAGGATCTTGCTTGCCATTGTAACAGCTGTTGTCAATAAGGAGAAATTTTGAGTTTTCCTGACATTTAAAAAGAACCTATTATAAAAATGCCTTCAGTAGAAAGCAGCAAGAGTTTTAAGACTTCTTTTCTCTCTAAAAGTGGAAGAGAAATCTGATGATAAAAACATTCATCATGACAAATGGTATTTACCACTCTTATAGGCTGGAGACTGAATCACTTCATTACGAGAAGTCTGTATAGTTTCCACTGAGCCAGCCTGTGGGATTCCACCGATGGTTTCAAAAACACCTGGAGCAAGTCCACAGGCTCCAATAAGGTCCTTTACACACAGAAAAGCTGTCTTGCACAGTTCCCAGTTTCTCGTGTAGCAGCATGTATATCTGCTTTGTCTGAGCTCCTCTCTGTGAATTTGAGAAAAAGAAAAAGAAAAAGCTTTATATCCCTTTATATTAGTGCCCACGCTCTGTGGTGCTATGTGGCCACCTCATTCTGGACGCACGATGTGCGTTTTTGTGTTCTCTACTGCAGCAATATGTTCTTTTCAGTTGGGAAAGGAAATATTAACTTGATTTTTTAATCCCATGTAACTCCAAGTAGAAACAGGTCCAAAACTGCTAGTAAGCCTCTCATATAAAAACACTAGAAAAAAGAGAAAAAGAAAGAAAGATATTTCCTTGTTTGGGTTTTTCAGGGTAATTCCATCTAACTTTAGAAATCTGTAGCTTTCACATCATTTTCAGGACTCTTCAGTGTTAGAATATAAGGCAATATTGAGATACATAGAGATTGGTTTATAATGAAGGAATTTTGAAATCTACTTAGTTTTCTTTAAATTCATCAAGAAGCTAGATTATTACTTCTGATAAATCAAGGAGTAACAGGTATCTTATCTATGTGTCCTTTTGTGGTGACAATTGAACTGGTCTCCTTAACTGATCTCATATTTTATATCTTTTCAGTCTGAGATAATCTGAGCTGTAATAAAAAGTACATTATAAATTTCAATTAATTCTTATCTGCCATAGATTATTCAGAGCCACAAACACCTGAAAAAAAAAACAGATGGTTGAAGTAAAACTTTAATCATTTTTTTCTACTGAAGTATTTTC